ATTGGCGGCGTATTCGGTGTTTTTCTTGATGATTTGCGTCATGGCGGCTGAGGGCTTTCCAATCACGACAGAGAGATACTGCTTTTGAGGAAGGGTTCGTCTGGTAGGCGCATATGGCGGCGGTGGTGGTTGATATGACGACGTGGGAACATCACCAGGTCGGTAACGATTCTCCGTCCCCCAAGGATCAGCTCCCGTTGGCACTGACTGTCCCAGCGTCGCACCCTGGGTGTTCTTGATGATGAAATTCGCCGTTTCCTCAAGATACGACATGGGGAGTTCGTGGTCCTGAAGGAATTTCGTGGCTGCATCGTAAGGGTTTTGCGTGACATTAAACGGTAGCTTGAGTGGAGGCTTGCCGTCCTCAATGTCAATGTCAAACACATAGTCGTACTCTTTCCCATTGTACGCTGTCTTCCCACTCGAGGCGGCCGAATCCACAACCTGCCCGACTTTGATCCACTGCTGCTGAGACATGGACCACTGATATAGACAGGCGCTTCCATCGTCTTCTTTGATGATTTGATTCTGGCCTTCTTTGGAACCGGCCTTTCGTTTGAGGAAGTCAGGACCGGGTAGATCTGTCACGTTGATCTGCCCTACAGTCTGTTGAGGAATGCTCGACGCTTGCAGAGACTCTTCAAACGCCGCAAGTGTTTCCGCATCGGCCACCCTCTCCGGGTCACGCGTGAATATGCGTGCCGTCTTGTCGCTTGAGCCAACAATGATGTCGCCATTTGGAGCGGTAGACACTGACCAGACTGAGATGGCGGGCAACGTAATCACCTGGATACAGGACTGTCCGTCCCAGACGCGGACGGATCGATCTTCTCCAGAGCTCACAATTTCACCTGAAGGAAGTACAGCCAAGGAGTATATGAAGGACTCGTGGCCGACCAACGAGGCAATGAGCTCGCCTTTCAGGTTCCAGAGACGGACAATGCCATCATTTGTTGCGGCGGCAATTTGAGCACCTGTACGATGACCTTCGGGTAGCTTTGCCAGAGCGCGAACAATGTCCTGACCGTCCCACGAATTCAACATCTTGCCTCGGATATCAAAGACTCGGATCGCACGGTCAGCACAGCCGGTGACGATTGTCTCTCTGCTGAAAGCGAGCACTGCCCAAACCGTGGCCGTGTGCCCTGTCAGATCATACGCGACCTCCCATCTGCCAATCTCCCACACCTTTGCTGTAGCGTCCCAACTGCCACTCACAAAATAGTTTGCCGGCGCACACACATCTATCGAGCAGACTTGGTTGCTGTGCCCCACCATGAAAGCGTCCGCATTCATGTCAGCTGTTAACGATGGCTGTCGAGCCTCGATAAGCGCATCTTGGCCAGAAGAGAGAATCAGACCATCTTCGTATTCTTTTGAGGGGGGGATATAAGCAAGACAGGTCTTGAACTGTGCGCCGTGGGATGATTCCGTGTCGTCGTAGGTCGGCGGGGATGTGGACGTCCGTTTCCAGACTCTGGTTGAGCCATCGCGAGACGCTGTTGCTGCAAAGGAGGGATCAGGAAGTAGGACGGCACGGACCTATATTCTCATGGTCAGTCTGGGTGCGGTATGGCCATGTGTCGAAACATGAAATGCGTACATCACTCTTGTGGCCGCGCAGGACCGCGCTCAGCTTGAAATCCGTCGCCGCGCCACTCATTTTTGGTCATTGACTAGAAGCAAGGATCATCTGGGAGTGTGCGACCAACGAAATAATATATCTGCACGGCGCCGGTAGTGACAAACGAGTGACAAGTGTGCGCACAATCACATGTTTCCTCTTTTGCTAGGAACAAATCCACCCTCCGATTCTCGCAGCCTTGCGGATTGGCGAGTGACGAATGACGTAATGCGGTTCAGCCTTGTCTGATGGGGCAGAAAGCACGGCCATCAGCTGGTAATTTACCTAGTACATATATCTAGATATTGAACGGATGTTGCGCTTTCTTGTCCTCTGGGTATCTATAGGGCTCCATGGAAGCCAATACTGAGCGACCCTTGCTCGTCACCATAGTTCGAATTGCAAATAGATGGTTTTACATTGCGCTTGCCTTCCTGCAAGCTTGCCTGATTGCTTGAGAGCCAAATGTTGGCAGTTTCTTCTTTGTCCCAGCTTTCTACGCCTAAAGTATTTCCCGTCATGCTCCCAACTCTGGAAGACTACTGCAAAATCATCGTCTAGCAAATATTCAGCCTCGCCACACTGGGGTCGTGATCCGACTTCTGATCGGCGTATGCCACCCATGTATTGACATGTACGTGTTTGAAATCCGGCCTGGCTCCAGGAGTGCCGGCTATTCTGGGGCTCACAAACATATGGTCCAACTCCTCACAACTCATGTCGAAAATATATGTGTATCTCTCGGTGGGGGTAATGCCCGCAGCGTCATCCATGTTCACGAGCCCAGAGACCGCAGTAAAGGTCTTCAAAGGCTCCACGAATGCGTATTCGTTAAAGTCTCCTGCGACGATGACGGCGGCGTGGGGATCGTGATCAAGGATCTGCGAGACAAATGTTCCGGTCACATTCGCTTGGGTCTTGCGCTGATCTACCCCGAGGTTGACAGGCGGGCGCGGGTCGCCTTCGATCGAGGAGCTGCCACCCTTGGATGTAAAGTGGACGACCACAGTGAAAAGTGTAGATTTATCTTTAACCGTTTCCCATTCTGCCGCCAGCGGTTTACGACTGTCTTGCCAGGCTGAGTTTGTTGGATCGACTAGGCCAGGGTTGTACTTCAGTGACGGACCTGGGAGCACTTCGTTGGCGTCAAGGGAGGAGCCTGGGTTGGGATTCTTAAGGTGTAGGATGTCAGGGTTGTAAAGATAGGCGACGCGGATGTTGCCACCGGGCTCGCCGCCGTCTTCGTCGTTGATAGGATCGATGTCAACGTAGCTGTACGACACTCCCCCGACGTCTTCGATCGCACTCACAAGGGTCTCCAATGTGATATTGGCACTTACGACGCCGTCGTCTGTAGGACCACTATTATCTTGAATTTCTTGTAAGAATACCAGATCCGGAGAGTTGAGATAGTAGGCAATACCGTAAGCGATGCCAGGCAGGGTGGCGGAGTTTGAAGCCAGATTGTCAACATTATACTGTCCCACTGTGATCTTCTTACAGCTCCCCTTCGAGTCCCAACTGATAGGGTCTGGTAATGCCGGTTGCTTCGAGTCGATGATGGAAATGGCTGACAACGGAAGGATGTAGTACAGCCCAAATTCCTGGTACACGACACCGGTGATGTCTTCGAGGTCGTCCCCTAGCTTGATGTTTTCCGGATTGACGGTACCATCGAGGGGGGCACCGATAATAATGGCTTCAGGATTGCCATCTCCTGGAGTTAGAGTCAAACCCCCTCTTTTGTTCTTGCTAGTCTTCCTCCAATTCCCAACTACCCAGGTTTCATTGTACGAGTTCGGTTTGCCAACAGCATTTGGTCTTTTGACGGTGACCAGCTCGCCCAACAGACTCTCCCAGAAGTCAAGGCCGTAGGACCATGGTTGAAGCACAGGGTTTACCACGGAGATCAGGCTGACATTGTTCGGGACCTCAAAGACATCACCATGGTCCAGTGAGGTGAACTGCTCTGTCGGTGGGCTGGTGTCTTGTTTTCCCAGAACAACCGGTTTCACCTCGTTGTCCCGGGACAGCACCTTTACATTGGTTGGCCGAGAAATCTCTGTCATGTACAGATATGCCGAGTTGGACCTGTACTCGGACACAATCCCGTCGAGCACAACGATATCACCCGTAGTCAAGGTAACATTGCTGGAGATACGGCCGAAGACATAGACCGACTCAGAAGTACGAATGTCCAAGTCTGGAGTGGTAGAGCGGATCCACAGCCCATCTGGACCGATGGCAGTGACCAACCCTGTGACGTTGTAGACATTTTGGTTGCGGTACGGTGAGACAAAGCGATTCCCATTGATCTGAGCAATGGTTTGTGCTGAGACAAGAGCGAGTGAAAGAGAGGCTGCTCCGAGGCGCAAAAGAGCATCAGTAACCTTCATGATGGACGAATCGAAGGGCGAAAATGAGGGGACGGCTTGAAGCCAAGATGTTCGGCGAGTGCCTGTTCAAACAACATGTTGTCTGCTGGAGGGAGGCAGCGTTTCTATTTGAGAGATTTAGCATCAGCAGGGCTCATCTTCAACATCCCGTCAGGTAGCAAATCCCAACGTCGCATCACCTTTGGTTTTGCATGAACCAACTGTACACCTGCAGACGTCCAGATTGGCAAGAGTACGGGAGTAAAGCTGAAAACAAGGGAGTCGGAGGAACATGATGGTTGAGATGGCAATGATTGGTGGCCGAGACGAAATTCTCAGTGGTTGAACGAAATTGCGAGCTGCGCAGGTGGAGGCTGCGTCCAATTTCGCAGCTGCACATCTATGCACGAGCAGCACTTCATTTCCTTTCACCACGCACACGTGGTGTAGTTTCAGTCAATGGATGGCTTATAGGCTGGCCTTGTAGCTTGCTTTTGCACAATGGACTTTTGCGCCTTTGTCTCGTAAATTCCATACGAAAAGAGCGTATTTTCGACCAATATACTGGCCCAGTCAGAGACAAACTACTCGTACAAGCTACAGGTACACAGATATGATAGGTAGGGCAGTGAAGACAGAAACTGCCATTACCGCTTTGTACCAAAGGTACCCAGATAGTCACTTTTTCGTCCGCGGCAGTTGGCCATACGGCTAAGTAGACAAATAACTCGACAATATACAAGGGTCCAAACTGATCTTGTCGATCTTTCCGGTATCATACATCACCAGTCGACTGGTAAAGTGCGCACAAACAACGAGGAGCATCGCGACTGTTTACTTGTCATCCAACAAAGCTGTTCATTCGCCCGTTCCACCAGCTCCGCAAGGCTGGAAGCGCATTCTACCCCAAGTCTTGGGGCGAGGATGTCCGGGTCCAAGATTGTCGAAAGCCAGTTATGAAGCCGTCGCCTCGAGACATGTTTGAGTTTGCAGCTCTCCAGCTAAATCTTGCCAACCAGCAAACAGCACACCATCTTTTGCGCTGTCAACCACACCGTATTGGCAAATGTCGGAAAATCCAATGTGGAAAACAACGTGTCAGCAAACCCAAACGGCAGCATAGGTGGGATCCAACCTTGGGCAAGCTCAAGGGCGAAACAACCGCGATGCATTTTGTATTGCTTGACAGCGCCCTTGGGGTGGTGGTGCATGGTCCCTTTCGGGTAGCGTTCCTTAACCAACGAATTGGCAGAGTACGCCCACTGCTCGCCCTCGAGGATGTAGAAGTAGTCGTCTGCGGTATGGCGGCCGCTATGCCCCTCCGTTCCAAGAGGCGTGCCGAAGATGATCAGGTACTCGGTGATGCTGGCATGGATGATGTACATGCTTCCCATGGCCCCACCAGCATTGTTGAAAACCCATTGCGAGGCGTAGGGCGAGATAGGAGAGATCTCAGTGCTATTCGGCGTAGCGTGAGGGAATGGGTCCTCACCAATGAGGTCTGGTCCATATTGTTCGCGAAGAGACGTGACGATGTGGTGCACCGCGCCGGCGGTAGATTCAGGATAGAGTTCCAGGCTTTCGTCGACCAGTTTCTGCAGTGCCACAGGATCAAAGATGTACCATCTAGACTATTGAGAGAATGTATTCAGTGTGTGAAATGACATGAAGATATGTTTCACTGCTAGAAGCGCACCTTGACCGAATCTGCCCAGGTACAGAGGCTTGTCAAGAGAGTGACAATCAAGAGACCAATTGACAGTTTCCAGGCAAAACTTGCCTTTTCTCGCCTCGTGTCGACCATTTGTTCCTTTCGTCGCTCTATTGTAATCGATACAGATCAATTGGGTAGTGATACAAGTGCTTACCCTGTCAAGCTCGTGTACCTAGTCAGAGTCTGAGGTGCCCACACGGTTTTTACTCGATTGATATTTGTCGCCTATAATGATTGGAGGCGTGATCCGGAATGTCGCGTTCCGTGGAGGAGGCCTTACAATCATCTTGGCAACGCGTGGAGCCAAATTGGAAAGAAGGCAGTAGAGGATGTAGTCCTCGTTTCTTCGCTCAGGAGAGTGAAAAATGAGGTGTATGGGGTATGATCTTGATTTCAAAGCCACTCGCCTTTCTTGCCGCAGATAGAAGGCCTACTCTTTCCCCTAAGACTACGTCTACGACGTGAAATATCTCCTCGTATCGACGCGAGTTCCTGTGCATCACTCATCTGTGTCCTCAAGGTAGGAATTGCGCTTGTAGTGATCAAGGTTTGATATTAGGAGGTCAAAGGTCGAGATTTGAGGGTTCGATCGATGGCAAAGGTAGGGAATGAGGCTAGCGAACTCCGAGTATGGTGGGCGTGAACGGCGAGACGGGCATGGCATTCAGGCTAGAGGTGACTCCAGGGTAGGAATGATGAAATAATACCGAGTAAGATGTGCGTATTCCTACCACTCGGCGGCCTTGCCATTTCGGGAATGGTCATAGGCTGAGCACCCGAGCCTTTCTGAATTAGAGATACTTGGGTACCTACCTACAAACCTTCGTCGTATACAAATACGCTCAAGTTGCACCCATCGTAAGAGAACTTCGTCAACCTTACCGAGTACAGACAGCGTCTCCTCTGCGGAGCTTTGGCGTGGACATGAACACAAATACTTGCGAATACGCTCCTTCAGCAGAACACCTCAACTCTAACCGATCATGGCGAGCTTCTGTGACCAAGAGCAGACAATGATGCTATTGCATTTTCCAATGAACATGACAGAAGCAATGATTTAAAGATCTGGAGCCCTCCTTGCACGTACTAACCTTCTCGCCGTTCTTCAGATCCCCCAATTCCTCAATTTTCTCTTACCATGTCGGCGTTCTTCCTCTCTCTGCTCTCTCTGACAACCTTAGTCCAAAGCTCTCCCATTCTCTCAGTGAAAACGGTGAAAACATGTCAAGAGTACAATATTCCTCTTAACCTGACCACTCTGAACCTTAAGTGGGCACTCGATCCGCTCGAGACAAACGAAGATGCAGCGGCATACAGTATTCAGGGGCAACGACGTGATGCCATGACCGTTTTCCAGCCAGTCACGCCTCCTACTGCACCCGAGACAGCTGTCTACACGGTAGCTGGTACCTTTTGTCAGCCAGCTAGTGGAGGAAATGGAACGGTCCTGCTAGCTACACACGGCGGAGGATACGACAGATAGTATGCTTCCCAGCACCCGGCCTACAAGTAGTAACATCCAAGAAGCTAACCGACGACAAAGCTACTGGGATCCCTCCATTCAACCGGAGAACTACAGCTTCGTGGAATATGCCGTGGCGCGAGGCTATTCGATCTTCTATTATGACAGAGTAGGTCTCGGCGAGTCCCAGAGGTAAGTCCCCTTCCCATTCACGGATCTGCTCGTCATCACTGACCATTTCCCACAGCGTCTCTGGCTATGTGGCGCAGACTTCGATACACACGGCTGTCGTCAAGGAACTTGTCAAGGTTATCCGCAGCGGTAAATTTGGGCATCCTCCCAGCAAGGTCGCGCTTGTGGGCCATAGTCTTGGAAGCGCGTACTCGAATGGCGTCCTGAATAGCGATCCGGATTTGGTGGATGCAGCGGTCCTCACGGGCTTCGCCTACAACGTCGTTCCTCCTTCAGGAGGCACTACGCTGCTCGCGAAACTAGAAGATCCCTTCAGATTTGGAGGCTTAGACGGTGGCTGGACAACCTGGGCCGACGTCTACTCCAATATCCAGAGGTACGACTCTCAGCAATGTACTTGGTGATCATCATCTGTAGGCTGACCGAGTACTTAGCTTCTTCAAACCTCCCTTCTATGATCGAAAAGTGGTGCAATGGACCGAGGACAACAAACAACCCACCGGCCTATTGGAAGGAATCAGTATTGGAGCGGCCAACTTCTCTTCTCCGGGGTTCACCGGCCCTGTCTTGGTATGTCTTGCAAGACTCATCTGTCCAGGACAACCAACAGCTAATCATCTCTAGATTCTGAGGTAGAATTCGTCTGAGATCCGAGTTAGGTTCCCATAACTGACATGACATAGCGGCGAGTATGACTTGATTGCCTGCGGAGGGTACTGTCCGGGATTCCTTGAAACAGGCCCGAGTCAAGTCTTCCCTGCGGCTAAGCCTCTTGTTACCTATATCCAGCCGAAGAGTGGGCACGCTGTGAATTTTGCTGTAAGTTCACGTTCTGCTATCCTCGAACCAGGAACTGATCAATGTCAAAATGTAGTTGAATGCTACGGGGTCGTTCGATGTTATTACGAAATTTCTGAAGCAAAACGGCATCTAGCGGTAGTCTTTTCTCGAAGAGTCTATGCATATACACATAATACTGGAGTGACAATTTCAAGGAAAAGCTATCATGGAAAGCGAAAAAAAGACACTTCAATTCGATACCCCAGGGACTTTGGCTGTATCGGCACAGTCAATCATCGAACCAGGTGTAGGTTACGTAGTACATACTGTACATATACAATCCGTTTTCAGACTCCATGCTAGGGTGCAACAATCGACGCCCGCAGCCCCTGTTGCTTGAACCTACTCGTAGCTTTTCGTCGGCACGCAGCACGTCGGTCCGTAATGTATATACCTTGTACCTAGTTGTAGGGCAGTACTATGTCCACCCAGGATCAACTTGATTGGATGGGATTACCGTATCGCGCATCGCTCTAACTGCATGTGGTGAAACGCACAAACGGCCGCGCACTCGGAACCCGAGGTCGACAAATCCTCGTAAACCTTTCTTGAAGCAGCATTTGACAAAGACCGCCTATCATTATTCAGGCGCCTAGTTTTCAATTGTTGCCCAGTTGCCCAGCAATGCCACGAGTGAATCTCATCAAGACAAGAAGCGTCAGACGGGGCTGATTCCCTTCTTCTTCTTCTTCTTCTTCTTCCTCCTCATCATCACCATCATCATTTCCTCGCCTTCACCACCTCCTTATTTCTGGAGCCATGGAGCTTTCATGGACCCTATTACTCTCCGCCACCGGCCTGCTCTTATTTGGCTATTTCTATCACGTGAACCGGGCCATGTCAGTCCTTCCAGAAGAAGCCGAGAAGATAGCCAGTAAGCCGTGGACGAAGGAAGAAATTCTAGCCGCATATGAGAAGTGCCGCCGAGAGAGGCCGGATTTCAAAAAGGATCTCCCGCCAAAGCAAAACAGGCGATATGTCGTGTTTGGAGGATCAGGTACATTCAGCAGCGCGTGGCTGATGTCGCTCCCCATTCTGACAATTGAAAAGGTCTTGTCGGCGGCTGGCTCGTCGAGCACCTGATCATACGAGGAGAAAACCCATTGGCCATCCGCATCGCTGACCTCCAAGCACCTCGGCGAGATCAAGCGGTCAAGCAGCGTGTCCCATACTTCAAGGCCGATGTCACCGACGCAGCCTCTGTCTCCAAGGTCTTCACTACTCCGTGGCCGGCCGAACATGCACAGTTGCCTCTGACAGTCTTCCATACTGTCGCTTATATCCACGCTGGCTACCGCAAGGCAGACTTCCTCGACACGTACATGAAGGTCAACGTCGAGGGCACGGAGAACGTCCTCAAGGCGGCGAAAGCGGCGCGCTGTGATGTATTCATCGCGACCTCATCTTGCAGCACGGCTATCAGACCTCTCGATTTCTTCGTCTACCCGTGGGAGAAGCACCCGCGAAACTTTGTTCAGCTCTCGGAGAATGGCGAACCGCCACCCCTGAAGCTGGAGAACTTTGCAGGTTGCTATGCTTATACCAAGGCGTTGGCGGAGAAATTGGTGAGAGACGCTGACAGTAAGAGGGACTCGTTCAGGACTGGCGCCATTAGACCCGGACACACCATCTATGGCCATGGAGACCAGAACAAGAACTCCGTGGTCTATGACTATCTGCGGCGTGGAGGTCTGCAAACGTTAGTACCCCATCGTTCATCACATTACCTGGGCCGTTGAGGACCGAGAAAGAGAAAACTGACAGCATAAACATTCACAATAGGTGGCTGACCCCTTTCGTCCTGCAATACGTCTCAGCCCAGAACGTATCTCTCGCTCACCTCCTGTACGAAGCGCGGCTACTCGCGGGCCACGATATCGGTGGCAATGCCTACGCGGTGTGCGACCCTGGTCCCCCATTCCGCTACAGTGACCTGTACCGAGCCATGTCGACCCTGGCACACCCCAGCACGCCCATCAGATGGCCCGAGGTCCAGCCTCTCCCGCTCCTCCTAATCGCCCATCTTATCGAAGGCTACATGCTCCTCCGACGCCGCTATCTCGGCTTCTTACCCGAGGTCACCAACTTTGACCTCTCGATGCTTCAGCCCGCCGTGTTCAACTACTCCACTCTCGTCATCATCTACGACGATTCGCGTGCCAGGCGAGAGCTGGGATACAACACGAGCCACGACACGCTGGAGGGGGTGTGCCTGCATATGCTCGAGTGGAACGAGCAAGCGGAAGCGAGACTGAAGGCGAAAGGCGAGGCGGAGGAGGAGGTGGCGACTGTGCCTGAGAAGAGCGTTCCTGGAGTAGCACAGCGTGTTGCGGCCTGAGCAGGCGGAAGATGTGATGAGTAGGTGGCGAATATCCGCCTAGCAGAGACACATGGGTATTGAATATGTGTCAAAAAGGCTGTGCCAGGCGCGAGAAGGAGGATCAATACGGTTAACCATCGGCAATGACGTGGGCAAAAGGATGCTTCCGAAACATGCCAAACTGGCTTGTGGGCTGTGGCTTTGAGACTCGACTCGTCCAGAGCCGCTGGTTGCAAAAGTACCTAGGGGCCCGGCCACATGGTTAGCTACCCCCAACGACAATACCCAGTGACAAGGGGTGTTTGGTCTTCTTGGAATCTATGTCACCATGTGGCGGATGATGACCTCACTGTCTTTGTCAACGACACTGGATCAAATAGGATATAACCATTCAATCTCGACACGAGAGGGAGAGAATATCTGTACCTGTTCCCAAGAGATGCGTCCAAACCATTCATCGTCGCAAACACCAGCCACATTTATCGAGTAACAAAGGCCTACGAGGTACATATTTGTAGGTGGTATACTCTCCAGGTCACCTACCCACCTGGCGAGCTGGGTAGGTCCAATCTGAACCCATGTAATTTACCGTAGGGCTAGGATAGGCTAGGCCAGGCCACATCCAGGGCGGTCCGATCAAGAACCGTAATCCACGATCTATTATTAATATGGATCCATGCATGATCCACATTCGGCAACTACAAATTGTCTATATCGAGCATGGTCAAGGGCACTGACCAGGCTCCAAAAGATCCCCTGCGCCATGATCCGTATTCGGTAGGCACAAGTTATCTATTGATCCAAGCATCGACGAGGTACAGAACCGGCTCCGCCTTATTGCTTTTCTTCCCATGCGGATGCATGACGCTTGATGCTTGGTTCTCGTTTGGAATAACAACCATAGAGATGCGAGTACGAACCCTTCGAGCCCGTTCGAGGTCTGCCGATTCGTACCCTATGCCCGATCCCCTGCGGAGTTCTGGCAGCGTTTCATTTCCTCCGCTGACCGAAAACAGAAAATGGCCCATCCGATTTCTCCTTCACTTCTCTGTTCCTGGCGGGGTTTGGGTGTGAAAAGGACACCGACAAGGGCCTTGGCGTGCTGGCGTGGATGAGGATACAAGCACATCGATCGATCCACCTCCGCGTCTCCTCCACCACCACCACCACCACCACCACCACCGCCGCCGCCGTCGCCTCCTCGTTATCACCACACAGCTTGTTGTCCTCGCCCCAAGCCAACCAAAAGTACCTCACAAGCCACAGTGCAACCTCCCAATGGTCGATGCACATCATGTACTCGGCGCACAAGTCACTCCGCGCCACCTCCCATCCCCGCGACCCTAAAGACAAACGGGCTCTCGTCCACAAATACATGAATCGACGCGCAGATGCGGGTGATCCTCCCCCAAGTACGACGGGCATGCTTCGGCCGTCGCTACGCAGTCTATACACTCTATCATTAGCTCGCTAGCAAGTAGCTGTGGAAATCGAGCCGTTTTAGCTACAACGGCAGCCACAGTCCTTCGTACCCGGTACATGAACAAAAACTCGGCTTTCCCGCGTTCCAGGCGCACAGCTTAGCTACGGGTCAGTGTCGTCGACACAGGCGCTGAGTCATAAAGGGAGCGCGACACGATCTGTTACCGCGTACGGCAAGGCTTCATCATGTCCGCATCACAAGATTGGTTCGCTTTCCAGTAGCCCGCTGGACCCAGCAGACAAGCAGCTTACTCAGGGCATCTCCTTGTGTCCCAGGGTCTCATTACCCTATCTCACCCCCCGTGCAAGATAAGGCCACCTTCGGTGCTCTCACCCTCTAACGATATTCTCGCTCGGTACGAGGTACATATGCTCCAATGCGGCTACCTTCCGCCACAATGCAGTTGCTCCGTGTGCTATACCATGACGAGAGTGGGGTGACATGGGCAACCGCTTGTGGTGTTTAAAGCGGGTGATCGAACCATCCAAAGGCTGAAATTCACAACTCCATCGCGTTGACGTCCTCATGGGCGAAAATGCTCTAAGGTATCAGGAGCTCTGAGACTGCAGCGATACCAGGCGCATCGAGATGTTGTGTTCTCTCTGGAAGCGCACGTTCGTGTGACCCATTGGAGCCATGGTGGCCATCACCTTCATCCACCACGATCCTGGTCAAAAACCGCGGCAGAAGCAACTCGATTCCTCCCGCGCAAGAGCCCATGCCGCCCGCGTTTCTCATGACTGGAGACGCGGTGACCACCTCCCACAATGGCTTCCTCAGGGTACAGAAGTCGATGCCCAGAGTGAAGACGGCAACGGTGACCAGCTGTCGAAGGTGGCCGCCTTTGGAGGCAACTCAGATCCATTCCGATGCTTTGCGATCGAAATTACCCCTGAATTGAACCGTATCCTCACTTTCACTAGAGACGTCGCCTTGCGTGCCCACTACACACCTCTCGCCGTCCGAAAAATATCTAGTGAGCTAGCTCACGACTTCGAAAAGCCTTATATTCGGGGTGGATGGGCCGACATCGCGGCAAGTTTGCGGGATGAAGGCACGGCGCTCGCGCGCTTGACGACGTATAGTCAATACTTGAGTCACTGTGTGCCAGACCCCAAGGAGATGAGAAAACTGGTGCTTCAGATGCGCATGCGCAGCCTTCAGCTGTTACGCCAAAAGCTGGAAAGGCACACAAGTTCATCGTCTGTGGAAGAAAAGAACAACTTGAAGCGCCACATATTTTCGCTCTTCGATGCAGAATGCTTTTGTGGGAACACTCAGGCAGCCATTATCCATGGCGCAACCCTGCTGAAGCTAATAGAAGAGAGCAACAAGTTCGACGCACCCATGGCACAACGGCTGTTGTACATTATCTGTCACTCGGCAGCCACCAGTGGACAGCGGACGGTCCCATCCGTGGGCAAATGGATTCGCGACAGGTCAGAAGTCTTTTTGAAAGAGCAGGTCCCGCCACATCCCCTTGGAGTTCCCAAGAACCACGTACTCCATGCAAGCTGCACTCTCCCAGAGCTCCGAGCCCTTTTTCGACGTTGCCAATACGTGGGGGACGCGAGCATGCAACCGTCGTCCACAGAGGGCCCTACCCCGAAGGGCTCGGTCGCGAACAAGCAGGCTGCTTACATATATGTTACCGTCTCCGCTCTCATCGACCTAAGTCGCCTCAATGACATGTTTCATGATCTCGTCGAAGGGGTTTGGATGGCAAGTGCCAGGAAGCCCGAAAGATACACCCAGGCAGCACTATCAGTGGCACTCAACTATCTCGCACGAGAGATGTTTGGTGACTTGACCATTAGCGGTACCAACATTCGAGACTGCTCAGCTAACCTGATGGGTCAGCTGAAGTTGACATTTTCGAAAGCATATCAATCTAGCACTGTTAACGACCGCCTAGATTTCGCATCCGCATACCTCTGGATCCTTTATGTGGGAGCACTCTGCGAACACAGAAATCGAGACAGTATCTGGAAGGCCGACATGCTTGATGAATCCTGGTTCAGCCCACTCCTAGTTTTCCAAGCTCATTTGACGGGAGCGGTGACCTGGCCACAGATGCGTGTCGTGGCTGAGCAGTTCTTTTACGTAGACATAGTGGAACCTGATGGCGCCATTTGGTTTGATGCTCTTCTCAAGAGGTATGATCAAGCCTCTCGCCATAAGAAGCTATCATTGGCGAGCCGATATGCTTGGTTTTTCAAAATTCGAAGATGAGCCTTTTTGCGTAAGTTGGAATGATTGGCCATGTGCCATATACTGGCACGAGCACACTGTGATGAGAATCCTGACGGAGCGCAGGGATATGGGACTTGATTGTGAAGGACCATCTTCAGAGTGCAGGCACGAGGAGTTGATATTTGGGCTTTGGACACGGCAGTGCAAGAGGAAACCACGAAGTCGAAGTGAGAGCAGGCGCCGTTTCATCTTCCATTTCATGTCTCATTTCCCTTCACACGACTCACTTCTACCAGCCTCGACCCAAATGTCTCCCATTCTCTGAATGACATACCTCGCTACCCAGGTAGTGTCCAATTTACTGCAACAGGATCATCATCTTCATCATCCCCCCTCTTCCGCGTCTCTGGATAGGAGCCATTCTGACCTGGTGCTCAGTGACTTCCCTCTGTCCCTCCCGCCTCGCCAACCCTCACAAAATCTTCATAATGGCAAAACCATCGCTGCCTCCATCTATGGTATCTGCCTATAAGCAATACAAGCAAGATACCGAGACCGTAGCAGGATGGCTAGCTGAGAAGTCGGCTCAAGCCGGCTACGCCTCAAACATCAAACAACCCAGACCTGAGGCAAAAGCCCGTAGGTCCGCTCAGGGCACTACCCGCAAGGCTCAAAGATCCAAGACAATGAAGCCTGTATGCATCGTCAGAACTGCCGAGTTGGTGGAAATGGCCAAATGCATTGTCAAGCTGCGACCAAAGGTCATCCTTAGTCGATCCATGCAGGTCATCTGGGAACGCACAATCCGAGCCAGGCGGGAATTCTCGAGGTGGTTTAGGAGCAAAGCTGCCACCAACGTTGTCCTCGATGAAAAACACTCTCACTTTGCTTCACTTCTCGAGCTTGCCCTTGAAACGCTGAGACCGTGCTACGAGATAGTCAAGGAGTCAAAGCCCACATCCCAGAAGAAAGAGACCGACAAGGGAACACCCCGCCCGCCAGTCAACAACATCTTCCAGCATCTGAAAGTCGAGGATTTACTCTCCGACGAAGAGGTGGACCAAGAAGACACAACCAATATCACCTGTGCGGAAGCCAAGCCCGGGAGCCCTCGTGCTCAGATCGACTTTGATGACCCTGAGGCTGAATCCGAATTCCTATTCGCCATCTGGTCCTTCATGCAGGAAGTTTTCGCCGTACGGACCTACGTCGCGTCTACTTGGCATCTGTACGCCAGTGGAAGCATCGAATTGATGCAGGCTGCCGCTATCACAAACCTGGCAGTCGATCTGGTCCGCAAAGCGGAAGCCGAATTGGAGGCCAGCCTGCAGCGGCCCCCGGCGTACCCTGCAGCGAGGTATCCAACCGGCTCTCTACCGTTTCTCATCTTCAAACTTCATGTTGTGCCCTCGTATCAATGCAAGAAAGCTTGGGACGCAGACTTGCCGATGGTGTTTATCATCTGTGGGTGCTCAATATGCGACGTTCTTCTCTACATACCATGGGGGATGGCTAGGACATACATTCACATCCTCAAGGAGATGCCGCCAACGTTCCCGAGCTTGGAAAATGAATTTCGCGTCCGGGTACCACCCTTTCCATCCACCAGGGTTTGTGATCCGCGGTTATTTCACGCCCAGAACCCAAGTCAGAAGGCGAAGTCGGAGCTGTCCAGGATCTTACCCAACTTTTCCCTGCTTTCCCTAATGCTCCGGGGAAAGTTTATTGAGGATGAGATTCTGCACGCGGCCAGGCATATCCTTGAGAACCGCAATTGCCCCATCTGGGTCAGCTTGGCCCTACAAATTCAGCTTGACATTCAGAGAGTGGGCACGATCAAGACTATTCGCGCCTTTCAGGATCTGAACCAAGCATTCGACGTGATCAAACTTCGGGTCGAGGAGCACCAGAAGTGGTATGAGACACACGGCGTCGAAATACGCTGGAAATGGCACGACCATCTTACCAGATCGCTCGATGGGTATGGGATATGGATCAAAGGCAAGATTTGCAGCAAGTCGGAGGTAAACGACGCTGGAGTGGAGGTTCCGCTGATGAAGGACTTCCCTGTCACCTGCGGCACGATGAAAACCGAACTACACCTGGAGTGGCACACTCTGGGCTTGGTGCATGTCAACAGTACGCTTCAGGTTCCTATGCTCTGCCACCTTTATAATGCACTACGTATCGTGGCGCCCCAGTCCCCCGTCTGGCCCGACATGGAGCTTGTGATCCGCAACCAGAACCCCGAGAAAATCTTCGTTGGTGGCCGCCCTGAAACGCTTGGTCAAGCACGAAACAGGTTTCTGCTCAGCAGTGGAGTGTCTATAACAAGCCTAGCTAAAGATTCCCGCGGCTTTCGATTCAGAAAGAATCCTGCAGTACGGCCATACGAACAGTCACCCATTGCCAAAAATCTGTTTGTTCGGTGGCAGGGCCAAGAGACACGGAAGATCGACGAAGCTGCGCATCGGCTCCAGGAGCATCTTTTCAGTCGACAATATTTCGAGGACCTTGAGCGCCATTATTATGTAGCAGCCGGCTCTCCAGCGCAGACTCCGCCTCAGAGGACGCTTTCAACACTGCGCACCAAGATGGTCCGCACTCTGGGGAGGCTGTCTGACAGCTTCGCGGCGGAGATGCCGGGGCTGATGTTTGACTATTTCTCCATGGAGCGCCGATGCTCCGCCGCCTTTGAACATCTCGCGCATGCTATCTGGGTAATGGCAGATGGCGGTGTACCCTCTGTCACGCCGGTCGATCACCCTGCTGCCAACGCGCTCGGACTCACAATCGACATTTTCAATGAAGCTTTCAGTTTACAGATGATGATCTGCTGTCTCGAATCCCAAAAACGGACTGTGAACAGAGCTCAGCGACCGGCAGCGGCAAAGCGTCTGAAGTCGATGCTGCCGCAGTTCCAGAACGAAAGTGGCCAGGTGTACTTGAACGCTCTGACGCACTTGCGCAACGGCCGCATAGGTGAGGTACTTGGGAAATGTGCTGGTCTTTCTGAAAATGCCGCAGCAGCTCGGGCTTTCGGACCATTAAGCAAATGGATTGAGAACCTTGTCAACGAACAGAAAGGTGACGCAGAGCTTCTGAAGTTGCGGAGAGTTGTCGGAACCAAAGACTATGGAATATGTCTCTTTCGCCCTTCAAGCTTGGAGGCATTGTATGGTCCCGGGAAAGAGCAATCGTGGGGGAGTATTGTGGTTGCTGAAAGCGTGATCAAAGAGGCAATGTTGTGCAGAGCCGCCAACCCGGTCGTGTACTTGGCCGCCAGGCTCTTTCTCCATCAGGAGAAGATGACGTGCGGCGCAGGTGCAGATTCTTATGGGAGCAGCGGCCTCAAGGCCGGCGATGTCAAAGACCTCGAGCGAGAGATGACCGAATATTGGTTCAAAGGAAATCCCAACACATGGGAGGGACATGGCCAGTCGCAGAAAGAAGACTGGGAGAAATGGGAAGGGATCTACGGCAGAGAAGGCCGACTGGCGAGAAAGTGACCTTATATGGTATAGTCAACGACCGTGCACGGACTAACCTGTTGCTTGCAACTGGATTGAAGACGAGAAATGAAAAATGAACATGAAAGGTATGAAAATGGAGATGGAGATGGCGTCTGCAGTGTGCAGGAATGGCATTGATGTTGTGTTAGAAGGCAATGATGCTTACGGTGGGATAGAGGGAGCATCCTGACTTTGAGACAGTATCAATTGTATGTATGTATTTGTAGTAGATATCTATGTATACACAAGAGATTCAGAAGCAAGAAACTCACGCCTTGTGACTTTCATTGTGTATGCGCCCTTTCGGCTGAGCGGGACCGGACACGGCCGTTTCCAATAGTCCGATATAGGCATATCCCGAGTATGTACCTTACCTTACCTCGGAACATGTTGTGAGTCCTTGCGTATCTACAGTTGGTTCTAAGTAATCACGGAGTCCCAATCCCAGCGGTAGCGGTAGCTGCGCGGATATCCACGGCGTGTCATCAAATCCCATCATGCATGATGGGTTGATTTATTGACTGAATAAAAGCAAAGACTTTTGGCCGACCCCCTCATTCCAACACCGTCCCAAACCAACTATGGACAGAAGACACTTCAGCACCGTCGACAGCCTCACCCATCTCTGGACCACGCTGGGTCTTCCACCAAAAGCCCTCGGGTCCGTCCGCCTCCCAGACGCAGACGCCCTGGGTCTCCCCTCGTCGTTCAAGATCGGAAACCTGGCGCAGTCGTCCATCGCGCTGACGGCTCTACTTGCGGCGCTGATCCACACGTCCCAGCGCCATCGGGGTGCCGAGAACGAGAACGACGGTGACGATGACGAGGGTAACGACACGGCAGTCCCAACGGTCACAGTCCCCCTGCACCACGCCGTAGTCGAGTTCCGGTCCGAGCGATTCCACACGATCGCGGGCTCCCATCCGGGTGGCGGACGACCGCACAGCGCCGTCGGCGGCCTCCACCACACCTCGGACGGGTGGGTGCGCGTGCACGACATTTTCCCGCACCACCGCGCGCGGGCACTCGAGGTTCTGGGCTGCGGTGCGGACGCTGACCGAGAGGCCGTGGCCGCCGCCATGGGCAGGTGGCGGTGCGTGGATCTGGAGAATACGGCGCTCGAGGCTGGCGCGGTGGTCGCCGCCCTCAGGAGCTATGAGCAGTGGGATGTTCTTCCCCATGCGAAGGCGATTAGGGATTTCCCTATTCAGATCAGGGAGATCGGTAGTGTCGACGATGGCCTCGCTGGTGGTCGTGGTGACGGCAGTCAAGGCGGCTGGCAGGAAAGAATGTCCCAGCAGAACAGTGGCGACAACTCCAATGCCAAAGCCCTCCACGGCGTCCGAGTCCTCGAGATGAGTCGAGTCATCGCAGCCCCCGTAGCCGGACGAACACTGGCCGCGCACGGCGCCGACGTGCTCTGGGTCACCAGCCCCGGCCTGCCCGACCTCCCCGTCATCGACCGCGACACAGCACGGGGCAAACGCACCGCGAGTTTGGACCTCGACCCCGGCGCCGACGCCAAAGCCGACAACCCCTCGCACGCCTCTGCGCGTGCGCGGGAGAACCACAAAAGCAACAGCGCAAGCGACAAGGAGATATTACTCTCGCTCCTCGACGACGCCGACGTCTTCCTCCAGGGCTACCGCCCAGGCAGTCTCGCAGGGCGCGGCCTGTCGATCGACGCACTCATCGCGCGACGCAGACAAAAGGGCATCAGACGCGGGATCGTCTGCGCGAATCTCTCGGCCTACGGGGCCGACGGGCCCTGGCGTGCCCGGCGCGGCTTCGACTCGCTCGTCCAGACGTGCTCGGGCATGAATGTGTCGGAGGCCGAACATTTTTCCTCTGCGAGGGACGATGCCGGCTCTACTACTGGTAGTGCTGCTCCTCACAATGCTGGTGGTGTCGGTACCTCTGGCGCGGGTAGCGCTGCGCGCCCAATGCCCTGTCAGGCCCTGGACCACGCGTCAGGCTACTTCCTCGCCGCGGGGATCATGGCCGCGCTGTACCGCCAGTCCCAGCCCGGCTGTTCTGGCTACTCGTACGAAGTCAGCGTCAGCCTGGCCGGGACGATGAAATACCTGCGCAGCCTAGGCCAGTACCCGGGCAACACTGGGTTCAAGTGCGCCGACTATGGGACCATGCAGGACGTGCCCGCCGAATACCTCGAGGAGCGCATGTCCGGGTTCGGCCTGCTCAAGGCCGTCAAACACTCCGCGACCATCGACGGCGTGCCCGTGGGGTGGGACATTATGCCGAATCCATTGGGGTCTGATGAGCCTCGATGGCCTTGATAATACAGAGAGGCCTCTGGGATCGGCTCAACCATGACTATCATACAGCGAGACCGCACAGGACCATAACATCCTGACCAAGCTGCCGCGTGTTCTCAGGGAAACTTATCTGTATAGTCACGAGATGAGGGTCTAAGTTCCTGCAGAGAAAGAAACAGTCCTTCCTCCACTAGACACAAAGACTGCCACTCCTCACCAACAAATAGATATCCCTTCACAGAAAGTGCCATGTCGTTTATTCACTCAGCTATCTTGCCGATTCCACAGCTACCCAAGACCAGGGTCGACAATTCACCCCCCTACTCAACATATTGACGTCTTTCTCATCACCAAGTCAAACACCCATCGCAACACCTCATAGGCCAATTCCACTCTGCCAGCCACCTCGAGAGCTCAGTCAGCCGAAGACGGTTGCTTCCGCACAAAGGTATGCTTGATAATATCACCTTCCCACATGTGCGACTGCCATTCCCCAATGCCATACTTTTCAGGAGCTCTCCGAACTCCCCGGCCACCTCCACCGATGATCAGGTTGCCTGGACGGTATGTCGGATCGGCCTGCATGCGCCGGATCACTGAGATATGGATTTGTGCATCATCTGGTATATCCCGAGTCTCTCCCATGGGAAGTGGCCTTGGTCAATGATTAGCGATTCATTCGAAAGCTTTGCAGGCTTCACAACGTACCAGCGAATAGCTTTCCATTTCCCATCTTGCAAGTCCATTCTTCGAAACGGAAGATATTCCATCATTTTCCAAAAACACACTGTCCCATGAGGCAGCCCCCCATTATACTTCAGACAATCGTGGATTGTGGCATCCGTGTAGCAATTTTCCAAGGTTTGGTGGAAGGAATTGCGCGTAGTGGTGTCCTCAATTTTCTCGCCGAATTCGTCCACTGCATGGGGCGAACAGCCTAAACGAGCCATCTTGCTGTGACAAGTCAGCTCCTGAGTCGGATCAAGACAGGCGTTAGAACCATCAAAGCAATACCCAGGGTCAAATTTCAGCCCGGCGCTCTCGGCCTCATGGACCATCCACACTAACGGCGTATGGCTGAGCATCCAGTGTTCTTTATCTCCCTTTTCCCACCCTCCGCCAATATCTCCATGGCCGCCCGCAAACCAGACTTCTTGCACGTCTTGAGGTCGATTGGGTTGTGACCATCGACGTCTAGCGTGCTTTCGAGGTGATTTTGCTCTTTCCCGGAGATGTTCAGTAGAAGGAGAATGCATTGGAGCAGCGAGACTTTCGGAGGAGCTCTGTGAAGCAAGCTCGGCTCCTGGGACTACAAGTTGACCGCCTGATGAGGTGGTCAATGTAATCTTCGGACCTCCCTGTGCCGTATGCTCCGCGTGGTTTTTCTCCGCTTGTGCCTTCTCGTTCATTTGCAAAAGGTCGGACTCATAGCGACGTATGTGATGGCGTCCGTGGTCCTCGGTTTGATTCTGTATTCCACTGACCAGGTCTTGACGGAACTTCGCCCGCCTTTCGTCGATCGACACGGCGTGCCGTATCACCTTTGCCGACGAACGAGCAGTGTAAGGAAACTTGCTTCGTTGCATCCAGGCCGATTCGAATCTTGGCACCGAGTTGACCGTGTCGAACAAACCAAGAAACCGAATTCGCCGAACTGGCCTGCTGCTGCCCAGGGTGTCAGAAGCTGCGCGCTGAGGTTCCGATGGTGATGGATAAAACTTACAAGGTTTCCCTGAATCCCCGCATAAATTCATACTGCTCCTCCTCATCTTTTTTGGCCTGGTCACTGCCATCATTCTTTCTGGCAGCCCATTTGGCGTAAGTCTTCCAAGCAAACCTGATGAGCTCTTCGTTGCCAGCGGCGAGCAAACCGATATGATCTAACATCTCGGCAAGGAAACGAGCTGTGTAGGCTCCACGGCTGAACCCGAAGAAGTACAAGTCATCTTCGCAGCTGTAGTAGCGCATGAGGAACTTGTACCCGCCCATTACATGGTCTGCAAATGATGTGCCGACAGCCTCATCTTTGGTTTTCAAGTACCATGATCGAATACGGCCCAATGTAGAGGTAGTTTGGATCTATCTGGTGAGCATTTCATTCATCCCACGGGGAATCTACTGCCACTCACTGAATGAGAACTGACATATGTCCCAATGCCTGGCTGGTAGAAGGTATACATGTTCACATCGGTGCGGTCAAGCATCCTGTAGAGTTTCAGGATGTTGCTGTCTGTGTCCTTCCCGCTGAACTTGTTGCCCGTGCCCTTGAGAAGTTGTCAGTGGACGCCATCAAGCGCTGAAACTCGGTGAACAAACATCGAAACACAGGACAAAAACATTCTTCTGTCGTGTTTGGCTTGGTTCCGGGACGGCCATCGAGAGCGACAACTCAGAGCACGTGAAGATAAAAATGACTAAAGATATCGGGTGCCACGAAGACCGCAGTGACAAGAATACGAATCGTCAACACGTCGAGCACACAAGAGTGAAGTCGCTGCAGACCAAGTTTATGAAGAGAAGCAGCCACATCCCGCACCCTGAGCATGTGCGCCTTGTTTAACCGTGTGGCCCTTTCCGAGCGCAAAAGAGGCAGGGTCCTTTCCTTCACGGCAGTGGCTGTCATGCACGTTGATCCGGCACAGCATCGTCATCTACGGCGAGGAGTTTGCGTCTCACCGCCAAGTATTCATGCAGAATTTGGGAATGATGGTCGACACCTCCGTGGTTTCTGCCGGGTAACTTCCGTAATAGCAAGGTGACAGGGTGGACGGACACATGGAGAAAGGTCTCATGAAGATGTGCAAAATGGTTGAGGACTGGAATGACCTGCAAGACTCCTGGGCTCCATCCTCTGAATGTTTGGTGGATGAAAGAGGGGAGGTAACACAACTTTGTCAAACATGCAGGTATCCCTTGCTGTGACGGAGGCGTCTCCGAGGACGATCATTCGCTTGCGTTGTGAGTGGGACCGTGTGACTATTTGTCTCTGATGGAGGGATCAATTGATCGTCGCTCGATAGGTATTCGGCACATCCTAAACAGGTATCAACATGGATGACACTGCTGTCTTGTTGAGGCAGACACAGCAGGTTAAACTGCATGCGGAGGGGGACTTTGTACAGAACCAGACAGGTGACCGTCCATCCTTGCCTTACGAGGTTCATGTCGCTCCGTAGATTGGTAGTCCAGACCTGCGATCGGCGTTCGAATAACAGGCGAAAAAGATAGTCGAAGTGGTTCTCCATCGTCGTCGCTTGATGGTCAAGGCGAAGGGGAAACGGGGGGAGGTTGGCCTTAGCAACTTGGTTGGCCTTAAGGGGAGCGGATCCTCCAAGCCCCGGTCCGGTCCGATCTAATTCGACCGGAGCCTCAAGCAAACTCTACCAACTCCACTCACCCACTCACTCTGTTTCCCCCTCCTTTCCTCGTTTCCCACTGTTACAACTACTACTCGTACTGTATGCGCATGTCCAGGTAAAAGATACGAGTACACCAGGTACAGGACTTTCTGACTGCTATCAGCCCCCCCCCCCCCCTTCGCCATCCTCTGTCTTACCACATACCTTGGTTCCTCGTGCGTTGATCGATCCACAATGCACAGACAACACAGGAATTGTACGCCACCATTGGCATTTGACGTAAAACAGAAAGCCCCCTATCCCACCAGTGCCAACATCTAGAGCCAACATCTAGAAAGGTTTCCCCGCCCGAGCTCCAGAAAGGCCCCAGAAGATCTGCCTCAGTGGCTCCGGATAACTCAATGAGAGGCACACCGACTATCAACTCTCCGAGCTTGACGGTGAGGTCGAAAAGAAGAGCCACCCTGACCGCTGGGGGGACGTTGAGTTGAACCCCGAGACCGAGGTGCTGATCGACTGAGGGCGCCGCGATGTCGATAGAGCTAGCTACTTGACCCCTCAGCGACAGTGAGGCACTACTCCACAAGGGAAAGGGACCTCTTGAATACCAAATGACAACAGCCTTGGAGTTGATGAACAATTACCTTGGCAGACTGCGCCAACCTGACTCTGGCTGAGCTCATAGGAAGATGGTCCTTCGAGACGGCTGTCATTTGAGCTCAGACTGGGTGGATCGATCAACACTGTATCACGGACTGAAACTGGCAGGGTCACTGGTGACTCTTGACAGCTTGCCCCGCATTGGGCGTAAAGATGCATGAAAAACAACTGCAGATGGAAGTGGCACATGCAGCATCACCATCTCATCCGAGCTCTTCTCCACCACTCCGAAGACAAGGCATGTAATTTCTTTGCTCTCAAACGCCGCTGGGTGCAGATCGCACCTGAACTTACTCGAACTAACATGTTTGTCGCCGATTCGCCGTGGACATGGAGGTCTTGTCCTCTTGGTCCGCGAGCTCGAAGCTTGGAGCTTCTTGAGATCTTTCTCACGATACTTCTTCTTTCTGCTCTCTGCCTCTGCTCCGTCAAGTCTTTTTCTCTTCACAGCTGAATACAACCCTTCGAAAACAACGGACTCAAGCAATGCCACTATTAAGAAGGCTTTCTTCCAGCTTCAAAAAGAACAAGAGTGCGAAGGCCAATGGCGTCAACGGTACTCTTACTACTGTCGACGAGGCTAAGGCTCCGGCTCCTGTTGTGAATGGTGACCAAGTGAATGGCACAAGTTCACATGGTGCCTCGATCGGCCAAAGCCTTGAGAAGACGAAGGACGTTCGACGGCCCTCGGCACCCAAATTGGCAACCACCTCTAATCCCCCAGAGGCGCCAGTGAGAGATGACGACAATGCCGTGGCAACTCGAAAGGATGTCGACAATGTCTTTACCCAATTTGCAGCACTCATCCACGCGTCGCAGCGTCCTCTTCCCACCCAGTCAGGCGACGGTCAATACCTGGAGAAAGAGGAGCCGACAGGGTTCTGGAATGATCTGAAACACTTGGGATTCAAAGACGCAGAGACAGCCTTGCATCTGGTCCAGGACAAACTCAGTGGAGGTCCAGTGGACGACCGAAAAATGCACATGGAAGAAGTTATGCAGCTGGTCGCCGCCCTTCCTGATAGCTCCGCCAATCGAGTCAAATTGACAAGTTCACTTGTGGACCTGCTATGGAATTCCCTGCAACACCCGCCTCTATCTTACCTCGGGGACGGCTACCAATACCGTTCAGCAGATGGATCAAACAATTCGTATATCTTTCCAAAACTGGGTGCAGCGAATACTCCCTATGCACGTTCGGTGCAGCCCAAGATTGCCCAACCAGGCGCATTGCCCGATCCGGGACTCTTGTTCGATTCGATTTTGGCGAGAGAAGAGTTCAAGCCTCATCCTAACAACGTTTCAAGCATATTCTTCAATTGGGCTTCGCTGATTATTCATGGTATGCTGCTTTCTCAGACTATTTGAACCCCGAGCGTCCTGACTTGTCCTAGATCTTTTTCAAACCGATCACCATGATTACAGCAACAGCAAAACTTCCAGCTATCTAGACCTGTCGATCTTGTATGGCGACACCCAAGAAGATCAGGATATGATGCGGACGTTCGAGAACGGCAAGATCAAGCCAGACTGCTTCGCGGAGGAAAGACTACTGGCATTCCCACCATCTTGTGGTGTGATGCTCATCATGCTGAACCGTTTCCACAATTATGTCGTCGAACAGTTGGCTTTGATCAACGAGAATGGTCGCTTCACACAGCCCTCTGCTAAGCTATCCGGAGACGCGGCAAAGACAGCTTGGAAGAAGTACGACAACGATCTCTTCCAGACTGGCCGTCTCATTACTTGTGGACTCTATATCTCCGTCACACTCAATGATTACCTTCGCACTATTGTCAACTTGAACAGAACAAACAGCACTTGGACCTTGGACCCACGGTTGCACAAACCGAAGACGTTCGGGGACGATGGCACCCCTCGAGGAGTTGGCAACCAAGTGAGCGCCGAGTTCAGTCTCTCTTACCGTTGGCATTCGTGCATCGGTCAGATGGATGAAGCATGGACGGAGAAAGTCTACTATGAGCTCTTTGGGAAGAAGCCAGATGACGTTTCGCTCCAAGAACTGATGATCGGATTGGCGAAATACGACCATGATCTACCAAAGGATCCACTTCAGCGTCCCTTCGCCCATCTCAAAAGGGATGCACACGGTAAGTTCGATGATGGGGAACTTGCCAAAATCATGCAAGCCGGCGTTGAAGAGGTCGCCGGTGCATTTGGTGCCCGAAACATTCCCAAATCCCTTCGAGCCATCACCATCCTTGGCATTCGGCAGTCCCGAGCCTGGAATCTGTGTACCCTCAATGAGTACAGAAAATTCTTTGGCCTAAAGACATACGACACATTTGAGGAAGTTAATCCAGATCCTTATGTGGCCGAACAGCTGAAACACCTATATGAACATCCTGACTTCATCGAGCTTTACCCTGGCCTTGCTGTCGAAGAGTACAAGAAGCCGATGGTGCCAGGGGTAGGTATCTGCCCTACACATACTATCTCACGGGTGGTGCTCTCCGACGCCGTTTCCTTGGTCCGTGGCGACAGATTCTACACCATTGACTACACTCCGAAGAACCTTACCAACTGGGGATTCAACGAGGCTGCCTCTGATACCAGTGTGAATCAGGGATGCGTTTTCTACAAGCTTATCTTGAGAGCACTGCCAAATCATTTCAAGCCAAACAGTATTTATGCTCACTGTGAGTGCAAGATGGGCAATGTCTCTGGAGTAACCGAGTAACAGCGCTGACATCAACTAGATCCCATGACAATTCCAAGCGAAAATGCCAAAATCATGAAGAATCTCGGTCGTTTTGAGGACTACGACTGGAGCACTCCCGAATTTATTCCTCCTCGTGTGACCTTGACTTCTTACGAGAGTGCCAAATATCTCCTAGAGCGCCCTCAAGACTACAAGGTCATGTGGAACGATGGCTTGGGATTCTGCATGGGCAAGGGAGGTGAGAGGTTCTGTCTCGGAGGGGACACGATTTTCCACCGGAAGCAGCGCCAGACAATGGAACAACTCATCTATCGAGACAAATGGCACGAGCATATCAAGCGCTTCTACGAGTACATCACACTCCGTCTTCTTCACGAGAAAAGCTGCAAGATTGCCGGCATCAATCAGGTTGACATTACGCGAGACGTCGGCAACCTTGCACACGTCCACTTTGCAGCCAACATGTTCGATCTGCCTCTCAAGACTGCGGAGAACCCCCGGGGCATTTTCTCGGAGCAGGAGTTGTGGATGGCCATGAGTGTGATATTCACTGCCATCTTCTTCGACTTTGAACCTACAAAATCCTTTCCGCTCCGGATGGTGGGAAGGAAGTTGTCAAACTTACTCGGGAAGCTGATTGAAGCCAACATCAAATCTGTGACAGCGACTTCCTTCGCTGCAAAGTTCTTCGACGGTTGGAGAGAGAATGAGAATGCTCTCGCAGACTACGGTATCCACATGATTCGGCGACTGAGCGAGACCGGAATGAGCACTTATGATATGGCCTTCAGCCAGATCTTGCCGACAGCCTGTGCACAGGTGCCGAACCAATCTCAGGTCTTCACGCAGATTATAGACTACTATCTGAGCGAAGAGGGTCTCAAGCATCTTCCAGACATTCAGCGTCTCGCAAAAATTGACAATAAGGAATCCGACAATCAGCTGCTCCACTACGTCAACGAGGGGATTCGGTTGAACGGCACCTTTGGTAGCTACCGACGCAGCCAAGTCAACCATACTTTCCACGACGATGGGAGACAGGTCACCGTGAAGCCTGGCGATAAGGTCTTTTGTGGCTTTGTGAAGGCTGCGAGAGATCCAAAGATCTTCCCGAACCCGGACGAGGTCCGACTTGACAGACCACTGGAGTCATATATCCACTACGGCATCGGCGAGCATGCTTGTCTCGGCAAGGATGCCAGTATGGTGGCATTGACTGCCATGTTAAGGACGGTGGGCAAACTAGAGAATCTGCGACGGGCTCCTGGACCACAAGGACAGCTGAAGAAGGTGAGTTTGAGAGTTGGCATGGATGGCGCGACAGGAAAGGTGCTGACTGTTCTCATAGGTTCCACGCGAGGGAGGATTCTACGTCTACATGCGGGAAGACCATGGCTCATACTTTGTTTTCCCATGCACACTCAAAGTCCATTACGACGGAACGCTGCCTCCGTTGGCAAAACCTAAGGCCGAACGTTGAAAGGTGTCTGGATCCATATCGAGATGTGGGAGAGGAGGTCGGGTGGTGACAGATGAAGTCTCATGAGTAACAAATGGGGGAGAATCAAGGCTGGACTTATCGGTCAATATCAACTGGCTAAGGCTCAAGCAAAGGCCGACATCATGGGGATCTTGGTCCTGCTGACAGAGGTGAATGTCACTTTTTGATAGTATAATGCCCGATATGATCTATAAGAACGTCTTATTTTTTATTGTTTTGGGCACAGTTACAATGTGCCTAAGTTGGCGGTGTCCAGGTATCAACTGGTCCTTGAATGTGTAGTAAGAAATGACAGAAGTGAGTGGTTGAAGTGTTGTATCTTGCCCACCATATCACCGGCCCTCATAGCGTCGGTAGTGAGTGCTATACCAGGGCTTCTCTCACTCAACTACTGTATTATGACTACTTTGATATTCTGCCAGACATGGGGATTCTCTATCGTGAGTCGGGGGCATTTCATCTCTCCCGGTCCCTGCTCCCCTTCATCAAGTTACAAGGTCAAATCAGCGGACAACAACTGGCACTGACTCCAGCTCTTGACAACTGGCCCTTTCCTTGATGCTGGATCGAAATACTACCTTCCTTGCCTCCTCCTCCAATCGAGATCCCAACGTCAGGCCTCCCGTGCGCTTGACATGGACTCCGCAGTCCAGGTCACACTCGCAGCCATGCTTGACCTTGGCACGAAAGCCCACCCTAGCATCTGCTGGACGCTGATCAGGTTGATGGTTTCGGGACATGAACCTTCTGTAAGGTGCCTAAGAGGAGGTCCCATGAAGAATGAGAGTTTGGGGCCACTGCAACGACGGAGCAACAGTTCGAGACCGCAGGCCCGTTTCCACATCCCAGACGGACGAGTTCTGCGGAGGCAGCTCGGGTCACTGCTTGAGTGCCCCCGTGTCTGGTATCAGTATACGGATATCCGATTGTCTTGTTAAGAGTATGGGACGATCAACATCCGGCATCCCAATGACTGAACATGTGTTACCAGCCGGTCAGGCTGCTTTGCCTTCCAGCGAAAAACAGCCAGCCACCAACCAGCCAGGGCCAGCCTTGATGCAGATCATCAGCCTCGTTCTAACTGCTGAAGCCCATGACGTCTCTTGTGCAACCCTCATTCCGTCATAGGTTGTGGTTATGGACCGAGATCAAGATGCGGGTTGTCGATGACCTGGTAGGCACGGTAGGCCAGAACAAATCAACACATGCCCTTTTCTCTGTCGTCCTAGGGCTGCACTGTTACTCTTTGTCGATTTGACTTTGAGCAAAACCAAGAAGAGTGGCTGGTCGGGCTACACATCGTTTACTAGCACAAGTCTATGCGGGTGTCCTCAGCTGCCTGGGTCTGGTGCGCCTCGTTGGGACATGGAATACTTTGGTGCTGATGCATGTCCAGATGCCACCGCCATGCTAATAAAAGGTTTCAACCTCGCTCCATTGCCAGGCATGTGTTCGGAAAGTTTCTGCACTTATTTATCTTGATATCCAACATGGCTGGGAGAAACAGCAGATTCCCCTGCGTGTTGCTGCTGCTGCTGCTACTGCTGTTGTTGATCGTCTGCTCGAGCCCTGCCACAGCTACGGAAACGACCGGCAGTCCGAGATGGCTGATACCTCGAACGAATATCACCGGGCCGAATCCAGGCGATTACAGGTGCGAGAGTGCTCGTGCCCCTGATTACTATGGAATTGGTGTCCGCCTGGTATGTTCTCACAATCATATGCTGGGGGGCCTCCACCACCCGCCGCCATCCCCTGAGCCGCCTGAGACTCATCGAGTCTAACATTTCATCGAAAGGGAATTTACTTTTCGTGGTTCACTGGCTGGGTCGTAAGTCCTTGACTCCTCTTCCATGTTCTCGCCTTGTGCCAACTGTCTCTCTCTCTCTGTCTCTTGTCTAGGCAAACTCATTTGTGCCCAGCGATATCGGTGGAGCCTTGGATACAAATGCGATCTTCCTCTTTGCAAACCTTGTGGCCATGGTGCGATGTACCGTCACAAAGGTGCTGACACAGCTAGACTGCGTGGTCCTGATGCATCTGTCAGGCGGGACCGTCTTTTCGGTGCTCAGCCTTTGGGGATACCGCACATGTCATTATATGCAGGAGGGCCCAAAGGGTATCCGACACTTCGGCGGCTTTGGCACGCACCTCAGGCTCCTGCTGTCGATGGCTGTCGCCGTGTATGGCCTTTGGTTCTGGCTATTCGGGATCCTGCCAGACACTACCGACGTGAATGTGGACACTGGCCCTTGCAGGACCGTCTATACTTTCATGTTTGCCAAAGTCCGTGCTGACGGCGGTGTGAGAATCTTCTACATTATCGTCTGCATCTGCTGTGTCATTTACTTCGGCGTCATGCTGCTCGCATCGACCCTTTCTCTCCATGCCAGGCTCGCAAAGGCAGTCGATCTGGCCAAGAGAGGCAAATGGCGTACAAGCACCCGACTGCACTATGCCACGGGCCTCTACCAGAAAGAGTAAATCCACCCCAAAGCAGTCTTGGGGGCACGGGAGGATCTTGCTGACCTTTTGATCTTCAGACTCCGCCGAATATTTTACTTCCTCCGAGTCGGCAACTTCCTCTTCATTCTGTGGTCAATGATCCTCGTCGAATGCACGCTCAACTTTAACCATGTCAAGGAAGTGCTGGGCCCCGGCAACCGGATCTTCTTCCCTTCTCAGCTCATTCCGATGATCATCGGCTGCTTCAGTTTTGTGAGGCTGGGGTACCGGGTGCTCGAAAGATGGCGCGACCCGGACGACGAGCCGTCGCTTCCCACAGAGCCTCGATCAGCCACCACACAACAGGACTTCCCGGGGCCGAAGAGGTTATTTAAGGTCTTTGCGCCACCGACAAACTTTAACAACGCCCGTCTTCAAGTGCCTGAAGATATACCTCCCGAGGACTCGGACATAGATCAACTTGTGCAGGACGAACCCGTACGGCTGCGATACCTAGTCACCTGGCTGCCCTGGCTGTCGTTGTTACATTGGTGGAAGGACGATGAGGAGCAGCGCCAAAATTCGCACAAGCGTGATGCCAATATGGAAAAGGGCCGTGCCCATTCGCCGTCCTCCACTCTGCAGGGGTCTCCAACCACTCCGACTTTTGTGAACCCCTACAAACCACAGATCCCATAAACGGAGTTTCTTGAAAGGAGATGCTTATTCGTACTCGTATGCTGAGATAATAGCTGATAAGAAGATGAGTCTCAAGTGGAGTACGAGCCTGCGGGCGTCGTCAAGCAAGCCATGAAGTGTTCGTCATGGTGTCGACCCGCTCAGTTTGACGGAGGACAATGTACCGAGTACGGGGTACGAGGTATGACTAGACAAGTATGCACGGCCTCCCATCACAAGCAGCATGGGGCTGAGGAGGGGGCGTTCATTTCTGTGACTGTGTAACGTATTGTCAGTTTCGGACCTTTCCCGCTTGTGTCTCTTTGAGTACTCGCAATCTGTGCATCTCTCGCTCTCTCCCAGCCTCGTGGACGGTCATTTAGGAGGTTAAGATGGGCACGTGTGACAAGGTGGCGCGACTTGGGTGACCATGGCGACTTCGGGTAATCACGTGCGCGGATGGCTTGCCAAGCCGGGGTCAAGGCGTCAAATTGTCCGACTTTGGCGACTTCGTGGCGTGGTTGGGGGCCGTTTTGACGTTTTGCAAACTCCGTACATACTTTCCGCATGCTGGGAGCCCAAAGCCGCCATCCCAGCCTTAAAAATCTTTCGCCTCCTTTCCCCGCGACTCGCGAAATCACGTCGCCGCTCAATCTCGCGGCTCCTTCTATCGATAGCTCGATACCAAAGGACACATAGCGCAGCAGGAAGCGAGATACCTACAAAATGGGCACGATGGCAGACATGGGTTCGCTTCGAGAAAGAAACCAAGTCCGCAAGCAGAGAGGTCAAGAGGCTGGACCATTACCTATGCAAAGTCAAACTGAGACATGGCTAATATGCATCAAGAGCCTTTTAGTCAAGTCCGCCCCGGAATCTCTGAGCCGGACCCCTGGACAAAACCCAATCGACTCCCTGATGAACCCTGTTGGATGGACGGAGAAAGCGAGGATGCATTTTTTCTGCTTGACGTGGCTTGCAGCTCAAAAAAACCAGCTGAGAATCAAGACAGAACAAGGGGCCGTCAATTTAAAAGAGCTTTCTCCCCGGAAAATCGTCTACCAATAGACTGGATGGGGCTCCTTGTCCCGACCCGTAACATCATTTTCCACCCAATCTCGGCCTGGTCGACCCCAGTCCAGCCGGCGTGTAGCCAAGCTACATCCCGGCAACCAGTTTCTTGTTTCGTCGATCCAGCTTGCCGGATTGGCTTCCCAAGCTCCAAAGCGTCACTTCGTCCGTCGTGCATCCCAGACACGGCCTGGAACCTCACCGCAGGGTTGTGCAGCTATCATGCAGGTCGACCTCATTCCTTTTGGGACAAAGTCGTCGTCGACGAGTCACTGCCGTGCTTGAGATAGGATCATGGTTCCGGAGAACACGTAACATGGCTCTGGACAAGTAGTCCGCAATGGGTGTCAAACCCTCCGATCTTGGTCGAGTGCTCCAGTCCTGATTCTAACGCATAATTTCCCGGTCTTCAAATCCATGTTGCCGCTCAACCCAGACGACAATGTCCCCCCTTAGCGGCTACACTCCACGCGAGCTAGTTGGCACGTTTCCATTCTGCTTGTTCTGGCTTGCTTCTTTGATGACGATTTTGACAATCTAAAGCCCCTCGCATCCCAAAAGGTGTGCTCATGCGAGCATGTGGCTTGCTGGATCACCATCAATTTCACTCTTAGCCCGGCTCATCCCCAGCTTCAGGCCTTTTCTGGTCCCGCCTCTAAAGCTCTTCGTTTCTCTTTCATTCGAACGACTGTGTTTCCGTTGCTGGTGGAGAGGGAGTATTCCAACGTGGACAGTACCTCGTATCTTGCCCATTCTCCCCCTTGTTGCCGTTTTTGCCTGAGCGAGCCCGTTGGTCGAAATCACATATTCTCCGATCCAAGGCCACGTCAATGGTAACTCAGCATTGTCACCCCGGGAACCGCTCCGGTTGACGTGGAAGTGGTCACCGCCAAAGAGGTTCTTGAGGAGTTGAAATCCTCTGCGTCTGGCGAGAGTGCATTGTGAAGCTCAATTGCTCCCACCGAGTGCGCAGACAAGATGCGTCTTTCTAAAATCCTAGTTTGGACGGTGCTAGGGTCGGCCCTACCCTCGAGTGGTTACGCCCAACCTGGATCAGATATACAGAAGCGACAGGAAAGCACCGACACAAACTTTCCATCTCTGACGACCGATTCGCCAAATGCTCCAACAGACGCTTCCTCAACGGCAAGCGACACGATCACATCTACACCGACCTCGACGCAGAGTGCCCAACAGTCTGGCTCAGCATCCACAACTTCGGTCAACAGCTCGTCTCTGTCCACGTCCTTGTCGACCACGAAGCATCTCTCCAGTACTACAAGCTCGGCCGTCCACACCGCCACCGCTACCCCTTCCAACAACTCCACGGCTTCCTCGACCGAGAAAGAGTCAGATGCGCTACCGATTCATCCTCGACTCACCCCAGCGTTCGGAATCGGCGGAGTGATACTGATTATCCTGGGGTCGACCTATGCTTTGATCGGGGTCAAGACTAGATGGGTACAGATCTTTTTGTCATGCGCTTTCTTGGCGAGCATTGCGACAACGGCGTTGGTCGACTATGTGATGAACCCCCCAATGACAGATGCCGTCCAAGGAGGCTTTTTCGTGGCGATTTTCATGACTGGCGCCGTCTTCGGAGCTGGTGCTCTGGTGTTCAAAGAGGTAACCGAAGGGTTTGCCTGTCTTCTGGGCGGCTTTTGTTTCAGCATGTGGCTGTTGACACTGCGGGCTGGTGGGCTAATAACTAGCTCAGGAGGCAAGGGGGCGTTTATTGGCATCTTCTGTGTGGTTTTCTGGGCCTTGTCATGGACCAGCTACACTCGCCCTTACGCACTGATTGGATCAATATCATTCAGTGGGGCAACCGCATTCACCTTGGGCATCGATTGCTTCACCAGGGCCGGCTTAAAGGAGTTCTGGTTTTATATCTGGGATCTCAACGATGACCTTTTCCCTTTGAACACCAGCACCTTCCCACTTACAAAGGGGATACGTGTCGAAATCGCCGTGATTGTGATCTGCACCATTATCGGAGTCCTTTCGCAACTCAAGCTCTGGAAAATGGTCAGATCGAAGCAGAGGGAGAAAGGCGAGCTTGACCAAGAGGGTTTCCGACAGATGGAGGCAATGGAGGCTGCCTTGGGCCGTCATCTCCAGCGACAGAACGAGCGCGACAAGTCTGAGTGGGAGAAGCAATACGGTGATCGACTCGCCAGCAAGCGCAACACGGTCCTGTGGCAGGATGCTCATCCGGAAAAAAGACATTCGAGCGTGTCAGTCGTGGCCCTTGATCAGGCGCACGATTCAAGTTCTTCCGAAAGCGTGGAACTGAATGCTTTTGGCCCCAAGAGAGCCTCATCAACCTACGGGTCGAAGAAGAGGCGGCAGAGCACGATGACGGTCGACGTCATTGAAGAGGTGGAAGAGGATACGGACGCCCTCGCCGATAAGGAGCGCAAGAAAGCCCTTCAAGCTCTTGAGAGTTCACAGACTCGCCGTAGGACGGAACGGAAAGACAGTGGTGGCTCTTCTGCAACGCACAGTACTTCCAGCACGTCGAATAATGTGAGTACAGACGAAGATGCTTACAACGATCCACCACGCCAGCTCGGCGGGTCTCCCAAGCTTAGAAGAGGGTCTCAGGCCTCTCTTTCTCGCCGGTCGAAACATTTGAGCGCGAACTATATTGGCGGCGGCTCCGAATCACAAGAACACTTGATCGACGGTGAAAGACCCCAGAGCAGGGCTTCCTCGGCTGCTGCGACTATGGACGTGGACAACGAAGAATTGGATGTGAAGGCATTGGACCTCGACCTCGATCCACAAGCGTCGTTGTCGTTGCCGCCAGAAATTGTTGTGTCCTCCATTACAAACGCATCAAACACGGCTCCAATGACGTCGGAGCCCAAAGAGAATGTCCACAGTGATATAGAAGCTCCCCCACGATCAACTGTCGGTAAGATCCCGGAACTCGAACAAATCGTTGAACGCGACGGACACTCTCCTAAAGAAACTTCCAAGTCGGACGGAGGTCTGAAGCCCGAGGGGAGCGAAGCAAAGATGGAGACAGGGGAGGTAACCAGGTCCCACTCTCAGACATCTGATGCCACCGACTCCAGCGCAGATTCTCTGACCAAGAATGCTCTCGCCCAAGTTCCCAGCCAGCTGTCGAGTGTGGTGTTGTCTTATCGCACCAACGAATGGGCAAAGCATATTGCCATGGCCGATGAACCGGTCTATGACGAGCCGGAGGCAATTGGTGGCATTGACGATGAACTGCCAACCCAGTTGGCGACAGCCACAGAGCAACCCGAACAGGTTCCTGTGGTGCCTCCTGTAGAAGTGCCGCCTGCGGCCACGTTGCCGCCCACGGTGAAAGCAGGCGGGACTGGCGTGGGGATCGTTTCCAAGCCACCCTCGAGCCAGCGGTCGGTCGCGGATCAGGAGCGTCGTCGCAGCACGGGCAAACTACCGCGATCAATGTCAGCACAAACCTTGAGACATTCGGCCAGCCGGGGAGGTCGGAATTCTCTCAATCCCGCAATGCAGACGTCACTTGTCTCGACGCCGATCGATGAAGATGCTCCAATGGAATTTACCAGCCCTAAAAGGGTAAGTCGACGCATGTCATCCCCGTACCAGATGCCGCAGCGAAGCAACAGTGGGCTGCGACCGCAAACAGCCTATGTGACGCCCGTGCCGCGTTCGGTTAGCATGAATGACCTGGTTCAAACGGCGCGGCCATTGAGTCAAAGCAGCAACCAGGCAGGGGGATCAATCGGGACTCGACTTGAGTCATACAACTCGCATCAGCCGAATCAGCGAGACCACAGGAGTGACGCGCAGAAGCGAGAGTCTCTGCTTGCCGAATGGCGACTGTCACAGCAACACCGGGCTGCTAGCAAGGGCATCAATGGAGTAATGGCGGAAGCCGGACACGCTCAAATGAAGGCGGACAGGGAAAACCAGAAACTAATGGAAGAATA